AATCTCATAAATATTTTCTTCTCACTTAATCTATAAATTTTAAAGTATTATTCCTATCATTTGTATTTTGGTGATTTGTTTTTCGGGTGTAAGAAATCTTTAAAATAAATACATACATATATATATATTTATAAATCACTGTCTCAAACATTCTTTGAACTTTCATAAATACATGAATTTTGAATTTATAACTTAGCAAAGTAAATTTTCATAAGAACACCGTTTTAACATTATATCAAAATTAAATACCAGATATTGGAAAGCTATAATATCTACATATTTAAATCAGTATAAACCAAAAGTAAGAAAATTGGCACCAAAATACGTCCTTAACAGTTACCAAACAAACCTAAAGTTCCATAGTATTTTAAGAAACGGTAAAAGTACTTTTTTCTATATTATTAGGCGAAACCTAGAAGTTTTGCGTTGGCAAAAATCAAAAACCTGGTTTTGAAAAAGCGAAATTTATGAACTATAAACAGGCGTGAGATAGTAAAATTTATAAAAACACAGAAATTTATTATCAAAATTCTATATCAAACTGAGTTTATTCTCTATAGAGTTTGAAGACTCGAAACAAAAAATTAATCAATGACATTTGTTACATAAAAATAAAGTGCAAAAAAAAAAAAAAGGCAAGTTTGAAATGATGAAAAAATATGAATTCCAGTAATTCAAATACTTCTTGCTGGCAATAAAATTTAAGTTTAATTTATAAACTCGTTTGCTTATGATTACATAAAGTTATTCGAAAATCCAATCATTCCAAGCATAGACAACAAAAATCTCGGGATGTAATGGATTGAAAAATCTTTAAAGTTTTGGTTATTATTGTAGAATGCGTATTTGCGGTGAATTTATGAAATACCCCAAAATTTGAAAAATTTGACTGTAAATATAGATTTTGGCTGAGATAATCAATGTTTCCCCGGTTAGGGTGCGTCGTTATATAAATTTATACGTCTAACAAAGGGGTTAGACGCGTTATTAGTCTAGACCAGAGATTCAAAAAAATTTTTCGGGGTTTTGCATTGATTTATTAATATGTAATTTTGGTAACTAAAATTTAGTTTTGGGGACTAAATACTCGGATTTGGTAACCAAATTTTAGCTAATTTCATAAATTTGCTGATGATAGTAAAATAGTAATACAGTATTGCTTAATGAAAACATTTTTGGTGTTCAAAATGCGACAAATATTTATATTATGACTAACCGACTAACCGTGGTTTTTATTACCTAAGCTAAGAGGCGTTACTGATTATTAACATTCAAATTTTTTAATTCAAATATATATCTGATTTTCGGGCATATTAAGGATTTTACTGTTTGCAGTTTCGCGTTTCGCCTAATAACTATACATCTACAGCTTAACATAGCTATTTTATTTATTTTGAGATATTAAAACAAGCTTTTTTATTGATTGTGACAAGTGTTTCGCCTGTTGCGTTTTCAACGTCATCGAAGAGCAAACCTTCGCGTAATAGCTTATCTAAAATATTATGCGCTGACTTTCACGCATACATATTATATTTTTTTTGCTTGACCTGACCGTCCATTTTTTCAATTTTGCAAAAAAAAAATTATTTTAAAGTGCCAATTTCAATTATTATATTTATGCCATTTATTTATTTTTTTCGTCATTCGGGGACCAACAGAAAAAAAAAAAGCCGACAAACCCAAGTTTCATTTCAGATGATGTTTTTGCGTAAACAAAAAGTCAAGCTACTAAGGAAATTAGGTGATCAAAAATTTTGGAGTGAGAGGCTCGTGAGAAAACTTTATTGTCAATCAATGAGAATCATGAAATTTTTAAACTGTGGATATATGCCATAAAGAAGATAATAACTCTTATTCAGGTGCGTTTATCAACTAGTGATTCCCTAGTACAGTACGTACTGCTTTTGTGTCTGAACTTGTCTCCTGTTGACCGAATCAGAAACTTACGTTAATAAACGCGAAAATAAAACTCAATCAAAAAACAAGGAGTAGCTTCTAAAGAAGTAATACTTTTATAAATAAAATATATGTCACAAAAAATAACTCTTTAGTCTTTTGATGCCCCCTAGGATTTCTGCTACCATTGAACATAATATGATATAACCATGATTTAGTAATTACAATGTATGTATCATAAAAATGCAGTTCAAATATAATAGGGGGACTATTATAAAAGGAATGGTGAAATATATGTAAATATTGTATATACCTGATACATACGTACTGTACATACAAGAAATTTTGACTGTAAAATAATTTTATGTTATGATTAATTTTTTGTAAAATGAAATTGCGCGTGAAATAAATTTTTTTAGGTCATAAGCTGTTAAAGAAACAGCATTTAAATTTTTATTTTCAAAAGATCATAGTTTTTTTTTTTTTGTTTTGAAAAAAATGAGGCACAAACAAAACAGTAATTAAAGTGTACATATTAAAAAAAAAATCTTTAAGTCTAAGTTAGTCTTTAAGTCTAAGTTAGCAGAATATATTACTGGACTCGAAAATTTCTATTGATGAATTAAATTGTCTACGGAAAAAAAATAAAATAAAATTACAAATGAAATGAAAATGTAATGATTTATATGTATAATGCAAATTAAAAAAAAAATAAATAAAATTAAAAATGCCAAAGTTACAAATGATAAAAAAAAAGAATGAAATGTACACATTTTAATGAAGTTTGATTTTTTTTTAAAATTATGCCGGGAGGAAATTTGCAGCTTGATCCCAAACAATACTAAGGTCTCTAACACTTTGATCATTATAATTAATTTGATTTTGTGCAGGTCTGAAAGTATACTCAAGAACTTGATCAGGATTCTTGACACTGAAAGCTCTTCTTATCGTAAATGGAAAGAAAATATTGGTTGGAAATTGTTTTGGTGCTTGATCATTATTAGATAAACCTAATCTATTAAGTTCTTGTACAAGATCTTCAAAACCGTTATTAGGATCGGTAAATACGAATTCTTCACCACCAGGAAAAGAACTTATTGATAATGAAGTTTTTGGGAATCCACCAATTGATACAGTTGTAACATTATTTAATTCTGCAAGATGTAGAGCAATTGCTGAACCAGCTGATCCACAATATCCATTTGTAAGAATAACCATATCACTTGCTTTCCAAGGTAAAGAAATTGGATTTTGGTTAATGAATCCATTTATTTCATCTTGGTCATTTTCAATAAATGATTTTGCTTCAATAAATTCATCAGTAGAGTTAAAAGGTAATGAATCAGGGAA